TTTTTACTATATGCTATTGTGTTTTTAACAAAAAATGAGGTTGGATTTTTTGGTACAGATGATCATCGGAAAGAGTTTTTTTTTAATAATTCTACTATTAATGAGCTTATTGAAATTTTTAATGATAATAATAATCTTTTTTTTCTTCAATATCTTATACATTTTATTACATTTAATATGCAACAGTAAGTAATTTTTTTATTTATTTATTTTAATTTAATTTTTACCAATTTTTTTATTAATTAATAGATTGGTTAATGATATTGAATTTTTTAAAATCTGTGATAAACCTCTAGCACCATATCTTGTAACAAGATTAGAGTTAATAAGAGCAAAATTATTTTCTGAACTTACAAACCCACCTAAATCAGCTGAAATAATGAAACTTTGTGAAGATTTTAATATTGATTTTACAGTTCATGATTCTTTTTTTAAAGAAGCATTTCAATTAGCATTAGCTAAATTTGACAAACATATTAATAATAATTCTGCAATTTCAATTTTTAAAGCTACTAGATGTTTTGATCCACGCTTTATTCAATTACAACCACATCATCATAGTATGTTATTATATTCAGATATAAAGAAATTTAAAAATCCTACAAATGAATTAATTACAGAATGGGGAATTTATTGTGGTTTAAATGAATTATTTGAAGAAGATTTTAATTTAGTTAGAAATTTTACCAAAATTATCTAATTTATATTTGGTTGCCAATATCAGGTGTGGATGTAGAACGCAGTTTTCTACATACAATAGAATTTTAGCAGATAACAGACAAAATTTGTCTGAAAATTCAATTTGTATATTAAATTTTTATAAATAAAATATAATTAGTGTTAGTTTTACAAAAATCGCATTATGTAAATGAATTTCGCATAATTCCGGAAATGTATAGCATAAGCCGCATAATTTGGACCAATCGCATCGCATAATTTGTCTCTTCATTTCGCATAATGCTGGTGTCCCTACGCTAACTGGCCAGATTGAGAATTTCACGTGAACGACAATTTTTTTTTATAGAGTACTGGCCATGGAAAATTTCCAGACTTATAATTTTTTCTAAACAAGTTTATAATTATGCCTGAACTCATTAATGCAAATCCCACGATCTATACACCTTCAAAAGCTTCTCACCGAATCATAACAGAAAAAGAAGAACAAGAAGATTTTGAAGACACAATCGATTCACAAGAAATTTTTGGTTGGTAAATTAAATATTTTTTTAAATTTATTTTTTTTTTAATACAAATATAACAACGATTACCAAAAAAAAAAAAAATAGATTTAATTCGTTCGATATCAGATCCCGAACACCCATTAACCCTTGAAGAATTAAATGTAACACAACTTGATCATATTAAAGTTGACGATGTTAATGCTTACATTAGCATTGAATTTACTCCAACAATACCACACTGTTCTATGGCTACTTTAATCGGTTTATGTATTCGTGTTAGACTTATACGAAGTTTACCTGAAAGGTTTAAAGTTGACATTATGGTTAGGAAAGGTACTCATCAATCTGAACAAGCTGGTATGTATTTTTAATAAACAAATCTTAGAAAAATGAATTTTATATCCTATTATATAAACTAAAATAAAATAATAATAATAATTGATTTAAACAGTTAATAAACAGTTGAATGATAAAGAACGTGTGGCAGCTGCTTTGGAAAATAATCATTTATTAGAAGTTGTAAATCAATGTTTGTCGACTGCGCATAGGCGTGGAAATATTAATATTAGTCGTTAATTCAAATTTTAATAGATCATCATCTTACATTGTATGCAAAAATTAAAGTTTAATTAGTTTGTATTTGTGATTTACTATAGCTTTAAAAAAATCACGTTAATTAATACAATAGCAAATAATTATCATTAGGATTTCATTAAAAAAAAAGTTGTTTTTTTTTAATACAATTTTTATTTATATATAAAACCAATTTGTTGGGTATTATCTTGATTTTGAAAGTCCAAAAGGTAGTTTAAAAAAAAAAAAAAAAAAATTCTCGTCACCAAATTGTAACTGGATCAATGTCTATAAAATAATAATCAATGTATCATCAAAATTATACATATCTATATAAATTTGAAGTTCTAAAACATATTATACAATAAACTTTGTTAAAAAAATATTTGTTAAGATATTGTAACAAAAGCGGATAAAAAAAATAAGTGAATGAATAACTAAAATCATATTTTTGATAATAAAAGATTGTTATTTTAAGATCTTTGATATGGTGGATTTACTAAACTCGTCGTACTACAAATAAAAATTTTTTTTTAATAATGATAATCATTATAAACAAATTTTAATAATGGTAAATAAACTTTACAGAACAAATCATAATTTGAAAAAAAAAACATACCTTGAAGCATTCTTAGTGCTTAAAGAATGTAAAAAGGCATTTACATCTGATTTTTTGTTATTACTTTTGCTTTTCTTTTTCTTTATATTGTTAATCGGAACCATGTTCAAAGACTCAATGTCTGATGCCACGGATGTGTCATGTTCAGATGAATCATTGATTACTTGAACTGCTTATGAATAATCAAATAAAATGGATTTATTAATATTATTAATATTAAATTAATTATAATAATTTATGATTAAATTATCGCGGTTTTCGAAATGGTAGAAATGAGTAAGAAAAAAAAATTTCTCTAGTATACCTGTATACTACGTATACTCATACTGGATTACCTTAGCACGTACTTATTGTTTGAAACAATAAGTAAGCCAAGCATCGATCTTCAATAAAGGTGCTAAGGTAATCTGGTATACAGTATACGGGTATACTCGAAAAAAAAAATTTTTCCCATTTTCAACCATTTCGAAAAACGCACACTTACCAAGAGCATCCTTAAGGTTCTCCACCTTGATAGATGCTTTCGGCAAATCACCAGAACTATCTTCTAAAGACATAAGAAATGGAGTAATAGTTATACGAGGTTTATCATTTTCTAATATTCTGCTTGATCTAATTCGATAACCTTCTTTTTTAACACTTTCAAAAACTTCATCTGGTCTCCATTCAGTCATTAATCTGACTTCTAAATCTTTACCACCAATGTCTATTAATTCTTTATGTTGACAAAGTATTGATACAATTGTTTGTCGATCAAGCCAAACATCAACAGGTTGTAAAGTATTATTATTTTCATCATGAATTTCATCTTCAAAAAATTTTACAATATTTGTTGTATCATTTATGTTGTTTTCAGATGAAATAGCATTTATATAAGTTGACCATTGGTGTTTGTTCATACGTTCAGCCTGAACCTGTCATATAAAATAAAAATATATAATTATAATTTTGTATATATACTATCATAAAACTTATAATATTAAATTAGATTTTAAAAATGACCTTATCAAGATATTCATGTAATTTTGGAAGATCTAATACTGAGGCAATATCACGAAAATATAATAAAATGATGCTTGCTAATGCTCTTTGCTGAGCAAAACCCTCAAGCAGTTCATCTTTTGCATTTGACTAGAAATATACATATATATATATGTTGTAAGAATACATCACATGATTCATAAATAATTTATATATAATTTATATTACCTGTAATTTGAAAACAACCGGAACACCACGAATTATTTGATCAGCTCTGAATCGAACCAGTAAAGCACGTAATAATGATAATAAAGCCACATAATCAGCAGGCTGAGAAATTTTTAATATTGCATACTGATATAGTGAAACATGAAGAGAATTTAAAAAATAGATGGCTGGTTTGTTAAAGTATGTCAACTATATAAAAAAAAAATAGTGAATTTAAAGTATTAATTAAAATTAGTATTAATTAAATAAACAAAGAAATATAATAAAAATAAACCTGTGTTAAATCCACATCTTTCAATTCTTTTGGCATATTACCATTATCCAAAAATTTTGCAAGAACTTTGGCATATGCAATTCTTACATCTTTATTAAAAAAAAATAAAGATTTTAAAAATCTAATTGATATTAATATTATTATAATTATAAATAATACAACATACTCAAATCTTCATCTACACACAGATCAATTGAACTATGAAATACTTCTACAGGAACTTCACTTCTTGTAATTTCAGAATGTCTTATCTCAGTTTCCTTACTATTTCTTACAACTATATCTAAACATTTCAATAATGTTTTACGTAATTCAGATAATGGAACACCTTCTATAATTGAACTTTGGCTACTTCCTTGTTGAGAGAGTTCAGCTTGCTCAGGATGTATATGTAAATGTTGAATAATATATTCAATAATATCACAGACTTGATTTGCATAGTAAATATGAGTTGCCAAACCACCTAATAAAAAAAAAAAGATTTAATAAAACTTTAAAATAGTTAAAACATTAAGAAGCATTAAAATAAATATTATTGAGATAATAACCAATACAAAAGATAAGTTGTTGACAAATTATTAAATCAGAATCATTAAAGTCAGCAGTATTTTCAGAATCATTAATGGAATTACAATTTTTCAAAGAATTTAACAATAAATGAATTAAACAATCTAAAACTTCAAGTATTGAAAGTCCAACAAGAGGAATATCACCAGTTAATATAAAAGATAAAGTTTTAACCAGAGAGATCTTTTTTGGAGTAGGGGTTGACCCGGATGGTAAAGCTTCTAGTTGTTGTATTATATAATCAACTAGTATGTGCCTACATTGTAGCTAATAAGACAAATTGAAAAGATATTATAAATGGTACAAAATAGAATAGTTTATAATAGGTTAATTTATATTTCATAATTAAAAAAAATAAAGATTAAAATGCATCAGGAAATTTTTAAATAGGGTGGATATCGATTACCAGCTGCAGAGGTGATTGCATCGATTAGAAAAATCGATAATAATCGATATTGGTAGCTAATCGATCAAAAATCAATCGATTTTAGTATAATTTTGATATCAATCGATTTCAATCAAAGTGATTCTAATTAATTTTAATTAGCAATCAATATCGCTGGTAATCGGCAGGGGTGCTACTTACCGATTGACAATTCTTTCTGTCAATCGATTGCCAACCAATTTAAAATTTCCTGATGCATAATAAATATACAATAAAGTATACCTTAAGAGATGAAAGAATAATAGAAGTTAAGGTAATAATAAAATTACTTGACGTCCATATGGTAGCTTCATCCAAGAAATTAAAAGTAGCTTCAAGAGAATAATTTATGTAAGAGGGATTAGGCATTTGGAATAGTTGTTTCAAACAATTATAGGCTAAATTTGTGATGTCTTCAGCAGATAAGTTTGTAGCATTAACAGAAAAACGACGAGATTTTTTCTCTGCGATTTTTGTATTGACCAACTTTTGGTCACTTGAAAAAAAAAAATAAAAATCGAGAATTATATATAGAATTATATAATTATTAAATTATACATTATTAAAAAATACTTTAATATAACACATACGCCTTTCGTAAGGCTTCTAATCTGTCAGGATCATCAATTAAATTATGCAAAATAGCCGGAACAATGAGTTGTAATTGTGCTTTAGCACTGGCAGATTGTAAAGCATCAGAAGTTAACGCTTTTTGAAGAGCGTGAATACCGATAAACCGATATCTATTTTTTTCAAAAATTAATTAATTTCAATGTGTAATAAAATAATATTAAGAAAAAAAAATTATTTTAAGTACCTTCTCTCATCGTTAATGTCGGATTCTTTAATAGTCGCGTATTTTGCAAACAATTCAATTAAGCTTTCATAGATTTCAGTAAATTCAGTATCTACACCAAGCGTAGAACCGTCATAGTATCCGCAAAAAGTAATGAACTAAATATATGTAAGAATAGAGTCAATAATTAATATCAATTAATATTAACCAGTATTGTATTGTAAATTTTTTTTTTTTAATTGTATTAATATGTTTAAAAGAAACATACTACGGAAGTAGCGCAAGCCACCAAATCAATATCATTTGTACTCAAGGAGGCAGTAATAATCTTTACAATATTCTTCGAAAACAAATTCAAATTATTATGGCATGCTTCCAGAAGCGCCTTGATAATTTGTAAAGAAATTTCAGTATCTCTTAAAGTAGGAAAAAAAAAAAAGGATCAGTTATAATCGTAGATCAAATATATAAAAAAAAAAAACACCTTTGCTTCTTACTGTTTTCTGCGTTTTCTAACGTCAGTAATTACTCTTTTTTCCAGGTAAACACCACATTTTGTGAGTTTAGCAGGCTTTGAGTTTGCATAAAATACGAGATAAGAAAGCTCACTAGATCTGGGACCCGTCTCACCAGGATTAATAGGATAACAGTTGTTTATAAGATTAGCATGCTTGATCCAACCTTTACATACGCCAGTACAAGCCATAATCGAAAAAGAGAAAATGAATTGAGAATATTTGTAAAAGGAAACGAGTAGAGGGGTAGTCTATTTCAGTCAGGACAAAAATAAAAAGGTTTAGGATAAATAAAGATAAAAAGAATGTAAAAACTGTAAATAAAAGACGGGAGCCCGGGTTTTAAGTTTCTAATAAAAGGACTAACTACTAACAGTGAATAAGATAACGAATAAAGATTTATTGTACAACTGCGGATGAATTGAATAACCAACGTTAACTAATTTAAGTAAACCAATTGGGGTGCGATGCATTGTGTATTATTTTTTTCCAGTCAAAAAAACTTTAAATACAGAAATACATGGATAAATTGATAATAATAACAGAGTAAAAATATCAAAGTTTAAGTTTTGCAAAATCCCCGACAAATTTAACAGTTATACGTACAATAATTACTGAATTAGGATTTAATAAATTTCCCGCTTTCGAAGTATATTTATCCTACGTACGTACGTATAACCCAAAAAATCCGACCTTTCGGAATTTATAATTGTTAATTGTCAAGAAAATTAACAATTATTATTCAAACTACCAGATAAATTACTAATCATTCACATGTTTACGTCGGGATTTTATTTCGGAGGTTCGGGATTTTTTAGAGCCGCTTATGATTCAGCTCTAAATGGGACAAAGAATTTTTGAATTAAAAGAACATTAAATTGATCGAATGTTGATCAAAGATTATCCAGTTCATCCAGTTCAAGACTAGAATTTTTTTTGGACTATCAATAAAAATGTTATTGTAATATAATGCTAATATATTATTAATATAATGTTAATATATTAATATAATCATGATACACAAAATATATGAATCTAAATTTAATTATATTTCGTATTTTCGTGATTCATTGATTCATTTTTGTTTCATTATAACTAATCCATGGTACGTATATAACATTTAATATAATAATCACTTACTATGTTTTAATAGTTAGGTGAGTTTAAATAAAATTTTATACTGTATATGAAGTTTAAAAAAAAGCTGGTCAGACGGGTTTATTTAAAAGGTTCATGTAATGAAAACCAAGTAATTAAATTTGTGTGGTCTAATAAGTATACAGTATAAGGGAGGGGAGGGTATTATGACGCACCTAAGCGTTGTCCATATAAAACTTTTCAGAAAAAATTATTTATTCTAAAAACTTGTAGATATAGATTATTGACTATCTACCAATAAAAAAAAAAATCACGTTTAAAAAAAAATTATTGAAATATAAGCCTTCAAAATCTACTCATAAAATGCTATGTTTTTTACATTTGGGGGTATTATGACGCACTATGTTCACTATGTGTTTTGTATTGTATTATTGCATCCTTCCTCCGGACATTACCCAAATAAAGAAATATATTATAAAAATCAAAAGAAACTTAATACTATCATAAGTAATGCCGACTTTTACTTATATCTTGTGATTTAGCAATTAGAACCAAAAAAAAAATTTATATTATTTGATTCGTCTTAGTAAGACGAATCGAATGATACCAAAATTACTCGATTCTAATCAATGTATCGCGAGATATCGTCAAAAAACACGAGTGCGTCACAATACCCACCTAATACCCCCCTCTCCCTTATACTGTTCTTTAGCAATACAGTACTGTATATTGTTTATATACAATATACAGTACATTCAATATTAGAAGCAGTACACACAAATTTTTGGTTATACATACTGCATATTATTTATCTAATTACTAAAAACCAGACTTTTATATATATAATATATCCTGTATAGAAATAAATTGTAATGTCTCACCTTAAATATTAAAAAAAATAAAATATATAAATTGTAATACGTACGTACGTACATACTGTAATAAAAAAAACCATATGGAACCCCCCATAGCAAAAGGAGGGGATGGGCAAAAAAATTTGAAAATTTGTTTTTATTGAATTTTTTTTAAAAAAAATTTTTTGGCCCATCTCCTTTTGCTATGGGGGTCCCATATATGTTAATAATTATGATGATAAAAAATACTATATGTTGGTAAATGACCTGAAATGACCCAAATGACAAATGACTAGTCATTGGGTCATTTCGAGACCCAAATGACTTAGA